ATAGAATTCATTTTAATTCATTTTAATCAACAGACACACGGATTTGTTTTATATGAAAGCTGAATCCCAGAATTCTGTATGGTTGTCTGAGGCCATTGATTGCCGGTTTCCCTTTCATCCTGGTCATCAGTGGTCTTATGTGCTTTTTTTTCTAAACGCAGAAGAATGTGTTGCTCATTCTCCGGGTGCTGTCACGTGTGTCAGTTTGGGCCGCAAGTCAGGCCGCGTCATGGCGACCGGAGGCGAAGACCGTCGGGTCAAACTGTGGGCCGTGGGCAAGCCTGCGTGCATCCTCAGCCTAACTGGTCATACTTCATCGGTTGAAGCCACGGAATTTAGTCAAGAGGAAGATCGGGTTGCTGCTGGGTCACTTTCTGGCTCTATCCGAATATGGGACTTAGAGGAAGTAAAAAGTAATCACTTTCTGCAATCGTAATGCAACGCTTAAGCATTTTTACTTTTTCCTCAGCATTATCACTCCGCGTCTAAATAACTTACTCAATAATTATTTTGCGTTTACGCGCAGCCGAGTGAATCGAATCGATTCGTTCAGCTGTAGCACCCTTTCGGTGCCTAGCTGCCATGCCACCAGAGTGAAGCACGAGGGATACTGCCAGACTGCCCAAGCCTAGACAGGGGAAGTCGAGAGGCAGAGGTCCGGTTCCAACCACAGACCTTCCGGTCAGTAAATTCGCGCTCCAACGACTTGGGCCATCTCTCCCTGCAGCTGAACGTCTCAGGATGAACCCGCGTATTGAAAATCCCTGTATGAGCGGTGTATCCAGTTTCTGTCTGTTAATACGCGGTTACGGCTGCTGTTAGTTGCACATAGTATTTGGTTGTCGGATGGTGAACAAAGACGGATGGGAATAACTACCAGATCTTCGCACCTGCGTACCTGCTCACGTTCTCAACGGTCCTCTGCAATTCAGGGAACTGCAACACACTGGTCAAGTGTTGCGTTTTAATAAGGTCGTTCACACCGTATCGGCAACGTGGTTAGCAGTTTGCGTTCATTCAACACTCCCGTCGTTCACACTGTTCTGTCAAAATCCGCTAACTCTGAAGCTCAGAACGCAGAGTTGACCACTGAACCATTCAGCTCTTCTCGGCCCGTTCAGACTCTTAGGCCGTCTTTCGGTTACAGCTGCACCACGATTATGTGAGAGTTTTCATTCCCCTTTTGTCCATGTGACTACCTTTTCCAACTACCCTTTCCAACCACTGGCGCATCAACGTTATAAAACTCTAGACGCCGAAATTTATTTCAAATTCTAAAAATATTAATGAAAAAATCACTTGTGAGTCAAAGCAAAACTGATGATTTATATTCACGCGACTTAAAAGTACGGCCGTATCCGGGTCAGTTGTTTTCGTTTCTTTAAACAGCTGAGTATCTGTTATGAGTTTGTCACTTCCACAGTTTTGAAGTGACTATTCTGTATGCCTCTGTGTCACTCCGTGATTTCCCGACTTCATTTGCTATTAGCTATTATTGTATTGACCGACGCTTAAATTTTTATTGTCTCCAGTTGTACGCGCCCTGTCTGGTCACACTTCGGCAGTCAGCTCTTTGGATTTTCATCCCTTTGGTAATTTCGTTGTCTCCGGCTCGATCGACACCTTAGTCAAGGTAAGACGATAGAGCGCATGTCTCCGTTCTATTTTTGATCCATTTTTCATGGCTTACATATATGTCTAGACCACACGTACTCATAGTTCAATAACCTTGTTTTGCTATTGACACCAATTCCTGATGATGCTCACGATGACGTGCACATATATGGTGATCCTCGTTTGAGTGATTCATTCAAACCGTTTCCGTAACAGTATTCTTGCACTCTGTCCTTCTTCTCTGTCTGAAACAGCCTCATGGATCACCAAGAGCATTTACAACCACCTCTTATCGTGGAGAGCAGTTCACGTCAATCCATACACTCTAGGAAATGAGCTGAGCTTGGTAGAAGACCAATATACATGTAAGATGCGTGCCGAGCTTGTTGGCAGAAGACCAATATACATGTAAGATGCGTGCGGATCTTACAGGATGGTTGGAGCTATCGGACTATACACAGTTCGTATTTAGTAGGTTGTAGAGACAGTTGGGTGGGGGCAGTAGATACTCTATTGAGAACTGGTCCCATGAACAAGTGGTTTAATAAGCACCATGAGTTAAACAGAACGTGCAATCAACAACAACGCCATCGGTAGGAGTGGAAAAAGGGTTAGTAGGGCGATTGGATACGGACAGTCAGACAGAAATAACGGCGCAGAAGACCGTCAGTGCGTTCGGGGGTAACGGCGATTGTCTGAAAAACGGGTATCAGTGAACCTGGCACAAATATACCTGCAGTCTTAGCTGATAGCGTGATGATATGGTACGTGCCAAATTGAATTTCGCCCTTAGGTCCGTTTAAAATAGGGCTTCGTGAGTAGTCGAGTTGGCGCAGTGGTTGGCGCACTCGTATGCCATCCGAGGCCTTCCGATTTTGACCCCCGGGTGACCTGTTTTTCCGCGGAGCAGATAGTCGTGATTCTATGGAATTGACATGAAACTGCAAGCGAAGATGAACAGGCGGCAAAACCTCGACATTAGTAACTAGAGCCTAAGCAGGGGGCGAAAACCCAGGGGACAAACAACCTTGTAATGAACATTCTATTGATTAGTGGCCGAACATATAGAGAAATAACCACTGATTGTCGTTGAATCACAGAAGGAATCCACAACAGGTTTATTTTCAACTGAGAATTCGTTCTGTCAGTGAGACCAACCTATGTTGGAAAACCGAGGAGCGCTGCCCATCCTTATTAGAAATCAGTAGTACTCATCTCAGCAAGTCAGAGTTTCGAACCGGCAACCTTCCTGTCGTTGTTTCATTTCTTGACCGTTTAACCACGAGTGGCTAAGCAACAGCGCGGCTAGCTCTCATGCAGACAGAAAATGGCGGCGCTCATCCTTCAGTCCACATCAAGTGGCCACGTATTTACTGGCTCCTCGGGTGACGACTTCTCATATGGAAGTTTTACTCATCTTGTGAAATCATTCTTCCTCTGTGTTGATGGCATATTTTTGTGTTGTCTTCAAGCCGGTACATTTAGGACTGTCGAACTCCCTCTGGGACCACAATAAAACTTCAAAATACAGCACCCATGAAAATGCCATCCCCATTGCGACTATTGAGGTCGAAATTCTCCCTACCAGGTAGTATGTACCATTTCACTTACCGGACGAAGTTCCCCAGAACAGATGGAAGTCCTCGGTTGCATCGTTTCAGTGTAAATGAACCATAAATCAGATTTCCCCACTGCCACTACATCGTGTATGCAGTAATTTTGTTAGTTTTGTTGCTGACTTAATCCGGGTTCATGCAATAAGTAGAGTAAAAGATGTCATGAATTCAAGTAGAACATAAGGTTGACGGAAGCTCGGGGACTGCGCCTACCTAATGAGCTCCAAGAAGGGCAAAACCGGTGGTGGGCTGTCCAAGAGTTTTCAGCAACCTTGTGAGTAGTTTCCTTCATGAAAATGTCACTAATCCCTCCATCTGGTTGGGTGCTACTTTTCATTTCTAATCTTGCTGAGTCCAAACAGGCATCGTGTATAATGCTTTTCTAGGAAGCCCATTCGATTGACTCACAAAGCTGAGCCAAGCATTGTGAAGTCTTGAGGCTCATGTCGAAGTTGTGGTATCTGGGTCATGGAAATGCATGTATAAAACTGTTGGATGTTTGGACCCAAATCGCACAAAACTGAACTCATTCAGTCATCTGCACATGAATTTGGTTCTGACAGGAGGCTTACCTGGAACCCAACTGACTCCCGTTTATGAGGTCTTCAAGCAACTAGATGTGCTGCAGTTGATCGTTTTGTATTTTAGTTAGTATGATATTCGAGATACCGCAGTACATTGTCCAGACTTGGTGCACCACTCTTTGAGTTTCCGAAAACTCTTCGACATCCACAACCGTCTCCTCCCTTCGAGTTCGTCGGATGGGCGCAGTCTCCGAGTCTCCATAAACCTAATTACATGAAAATCGAGTTATACACTCATTTGCATACCAATTTGGTTTTGGTGGGAGTACCATCGGAAAACCAAATGAATCTCTCGTGTATGATGTTCAACCCATTTTGATCCTCATTATCAACGAGACAACAGTACTTCAAAAAGACCCCAAACATTCATAGCAGTAAAAATCCAACATATCAACGTCGTGCTGCGCAGTGGTTTTCTTCATTTTGTCAGCATAAGGACAAATTGTACGCCACCCTTACAGCACGATGTGTTGCGGCAACTGAGATCCACTGAGTGTGACGTCACTGGACCATCAGGCCGGTGGTTTGTGTAAGAGGTTTCACAATCTACGACACTCTTCGCACCAGTGTTCGTTCCACCGAGGTACAATGTTTGATGAAGTTCTGCATGGTGCCCGCACGTTTTTCGCAAACTACCTCTGAGACTAAGCGGTTAACTATGTTATGTTATGTTACAACGAACCAGGAGAAATGTCTTTAAGTTTTCTGGATGATTATGAATATGCATTCAACCAACAACCGATTTGGGTCAACAACGATGACGTGGTGGTCCTAGGATTGAGTCGAGAAGATGAGCCACGCATTCGTTTTCATCCACGAATCTGAGATGTATGGTTGAGGTTTTTCTGTATCCCGGCTCAAATGTCTGGTGGAATTCAGAGCCCAGTTGATGCAGCTTATGAGTAACACTAGATCAACCGTGTATAGGCAACTTTAGTTCAGGTGTCTAGTGCAGGAGCGCTTTGTCGTTCATGTATTTCATCTGTTTATTCACACCGACGCTCATCAATTTGTCCAATAATTTGCCCTTGCGTACGTCACTGAATTGAAGAATGGTCGGTGAAAAAAGGCCCATCGAACTCCAGCTGAGTTTATTTCGCCTGGTTCATTTTCAGCTCTGGGATGTTTCTAGAAAGGGCTGTATCAACACCTACCGGGGTCATTCTGGAGGAGTGAATATGGCTCGTTTCTCGCCCGACGGGAAATGGGTCGTTTCCGCGGGAGAAGATGGCATGATCAAGGTATATCCATGCATTCTATCGTTTTATTCAGAGAAGTTGGTTATTTTGAACGTATTTTGTCAGTTAGTTCCTAGGGGCATGGGGAATTTGAATTCGGGAATTTCCTGGTGTGAATCACCTGAAACGATGAACACGTTTACAGTTTTATTTTTGATGTTTTGCACAAGAAGAGTTGGTCAGTATACAAGTACGGTCATGGTGAAAAACTAACCTATACAAGTAAAGAGTTATAGTTAGTTTACTCCGCCTAGTTGATTTATTTATTTTTGTTTAATTCAGTAACTGAAAACTCTAATGAGTTCATGGGCTCATTATTGTTTTCTTTATGGCAAACTGGCAATTGTTAAAGACATAAAGACATATTCTAGCTAAAACCGAGAAAAATTTTCGTAGATGCCACCCATTCTTCTCTTAAACTGAAATAACACTTTGAGTATAAGCAAAAATATTTTTTGGTTGTATGGCAGTCGAGCATCGCCTCAACACTGGGACGCGTCAACAACTGGCTTCTGAGCTCGTCATCACTGTCAAGGAATTGTACACGATAGACGATGCTTGAATACCCTGGACTCTATATCCATTCATGTTGGCATATAAGTTGGAGCATATTCCATTGGTAGGGGTTGAAATAATTGGATAGACTGTCGCCCTCTCAGCGTCTATAAACAACAGTGTACTACCACTAGGGATCACTGCCCACAAAGACTGGGTTTCAGCCCGAGTGAGCCTCCAACTTAAGTTGGATAGCGTGTTTCGTTGTCAGTTCTCGTCCTGACTTTTTCCAGACCGTTTCCACGTCCAGCGACACGCTTTCCTTCGACGGTATAACCACGTGATCAAGTGTTCTCAGCTGATAAATTTCGTTTCAGTTCTTCGAAAAAAAATATTCAACGAACTTAAGTACCTCAAATTTGATTGCGCTAGAGGTGAGCAATGTTTGGGCCGTCGGTGTGCACCACAGGAGTTTTCGCTCCATATTCGTAAAATAGTTGGTCACTGATGCCTCAGGTTAGCAAAGCCACTTGAGTCCAAGAGCCCATCAAACAAAGATGCGATACGATGTATATTGATGTAGGTAGATAAATTCGGCGTTGTGCCCAGATCCGAGAATGGCCCGTTGCCTAATGGGGGGTGAATAGGACACAACCAAACTGGGCGTTTTGACCACCTCTACGAAACGCCTTCTAATTTGCTCGGTATTCATCACTGAAACTACGCCGAAAGATCATCCCTATTTATTAACACAACTGTTCGTGAAACACGCAATGCAATGCTCGGGCCGGGTTTGCTAATTTGAGACACCTACGGCGTCAGAATGGTTTATCCCTGAATCTGAAGGGACGTGTGCATCAAGCTACAGTACGGGCTGTTTTGTTGTATGGCTGTGAGACTTGGCCTACTCGAGCAGCGGAACTGAGACGTCTTCAGGTGTTCGACAATCGTTGTCTCAGATCCATAGATCGTGTGGGTGGGTGTCGGCGAATCCGTAACGAGGTAGTTAGAAACCGCGTTTTCGGTTGTGTAACGGGTACTTCGATTGAACAATGTGTCCAGCACCAGAAGCTGCGTTGGTTGGGACATGTGTTACGCATGCCCAACCATCGTTTGTCTAAAAAAGTACTATTTTCCATGCCCAATTCGGAGTGGCGTAAACAGAGGTGGCCAACCCATGATCTGGCAGAGGAGTATGAAGGAGATCACGAAACGCTTGGGTGCTGTCGGTGCTACTCGCCTTCCAGGATGGGGTCCGCGTAATCCTCACTGTGCCTGGTTGGAAACACTACGAGATCTGGCTGCTAACCGATGTCAGTGGCGTTCTGTGCCTGAGTGAATGTCTGGAGGTGTAGGTACCTCGGAATAATTGTGGTAAGCTAGCACTAAGTCCATTCCCCGTCCACCTTTACTCTTTTCTTTACAATAAGGCTTTCAAATAAATCATGGTTGTACGGCAGTGATGCATCGGTGTTGAACACTGATGTCATGCTGTCGATGATTATGATGTTGATGATATAAAAATATATATTTCACATGTGCAGCATGGTGTTCGTCTTTTGGTCCAGTATTTATTGGCTCCTCGATTGACGACTTCTCAGATGGAAGTTTCACTCATCCTCCTCTAAGCCACTGATGGATTGATCATACATCGTGTGAGGAGATTTTGTACTTTCCAATTGAAATTTCTGCCTTTCGATGATTTTCTTCTGGAGTCTGGTACACAGATGGTCAGTGTTGCAGCTCTCCTCTGGGGATCGAAATGTTTTGTCATTGTCTTCAAACGCGAAACTGAACAAACGTTTCCATCGAGTTGTAAATTTCATCCGGACTAACGAATGTTTGTACATTCTGAAACGAAATTGCTGCAACCTCTCCGCCCTTCTTCCGCATCATCAGCGGCAGAAGCTGGTGATGTACGGCGTACTTGCCGTACAGTGGTTTTAGTTGCCACAGTTTCGCTCACGAATGATTTGCAGAAGTTGGTTGGGCACTGGTGGCGTTAGTCTATTGTGAAATAATTACTTTCTATCAGCCTCTTCGTGGGGATCAATCTGTACCCATCTTTTATTACTAGTCTTTCCAGCTCTGTTTGTGAGTCATAAAACTTCAACTCCATTCTGTTTTTTGACTACTAACCGGTTGCATCTGCTGTACTTTCGGTCACCGAGGATAGGAAAGCTAGCAGCAATCCATTGTAGTCAATACCTCAACTCTTCCATGGTCGCCTAGTCGGTTCCTTTTCTGCTGCACTAAAGCTATCTCTCCCAAGCAGAAACACCGTTTGTGTATGTGAATTCCGTTAACCTCTTTTACATTGTATTTAGATTCCAATTTGTCCTCACTATCACCTGCAGGTTTTATCTCATTTGATTAAAGTGCCATCTGTCTTTCACTGAATCTAACTGCTCAGCTTTGGGACCTCTCCGCGGGACGTCTACTCGCTGAGTTGACTGGACACACGGGTTCGGTCACAGCTGTTGCGTTCCATCCGACTGTACTTCTTCTTGCCACCGCATCCACCGACCGTACAGTTCGTCTTTTCGATCTCGAGAACTTTTCTCAAGTGGCTGTCAGTGGCACGGAACTCGCGGGGTCTGTGGTCCGTCGAATTGCGTTTCATCCTGATGGTGTCTGTCTGTATGTGGCCACTTTGGACTATCTCAAGGTAAGTTGCTCCAGTTCGGTTCCCTGCATGGCTTGACATAACGCGCCAAACTGGGAGGACGTTACTCCAGTATGATGACTGCGAGGTTTGTGAAGAATAACCTGGGGGAGTGGGAAGGCAAAAAAGAATGGATAGTCTTCATCGGGCTCACTTGTGGTGATCAGTCTAACCTGAGTAGATCAGGAGAGGTATCAGCGTAGTTCAGCCACATGATAATGGAAACTCCTCTAGTTCGATAAAATCTAGAATTAGTAATGTGAGGGAAATATAGAGGTCGCAGCGGTTGCCGTACCTCAGTCGCGAATTTTGTAAGACGATCGTTGATAGAATCTGAAGGATAGGACAGGTAAGACGTAGAGTAATGGAGAGCAGCAGCATTAGTAAAACGTGAGTGCTGCAATAAGCCACAGAAAAATTGGTCTGCATGTATCAAAGATAGTTTGGATATGAACATACTCTCTTGTTCGATCTGACAGGCTTAGACACATTTTGAGGCAGACCCTATCGCACAGCCAAGTGGTACATACTGGTGTGTAGTACTAGTAACCGTTCATTCGTACCACCTTTTCGGTGCCTAGCTACCAGGCCACCCGAAGGAAGTACGAAGAAGGAGATATTGCCAGGTTAACCAATCCTAGACAGGAACAGTCGAGATTCAGAAGTTGGATGTCAACCACGCACCTTCTGTTCAGTAAGTTCGCACCTTTATCACAGCTATTTCGAGCTCGATACTGGTGTATATTGTTATCTAATTGACTGACCAGCGTAAGCTGGTAGGCTACTCTGCATAGTAAGTCAGGTTTTTGGTAGGCCCGCAACGCCTTCAGACAACTCCTTTGAGGTGCGTACAAATTGATCCGTCGCTCAAAATGCTTACAGTTCACCTGATCAACCTCGGGCGTTCAAAAGCGGAGTCACTCGGAAAAATGTGTTCATAGCGGATTGGCTACTCAAAGCTGTAGAGACAACAAAGGTATTTGTTACGTCGATACACGTAATATACTACTCACAAGGTTGCTGAAGACTCTTCGATAACCCACCACCTGTTCCAGCCTTCTTGGGGCTCATCAGATAGGTGCAGTCCCCGAGCTTCCGTCAACCTTATGCTCCGCTTGAACCCAAATTGGAAAGATTTCGACGAATATCAATTTGGTTTTGACGGGATACTTGCAACCCAGCAGAATCTTTCGTTTATGGTGTTTTTTAAGCAACTCATCACGAACGAGAGATTCAGCTGGGCTTTAGGTGAGTCTCCCGTCAAAACCAGATTGATATACAAACGAATATATTTGTCACATCAATTAACCGATGGATTTATAGCCTAATGTTCGGAATTGTTTGTGGGCTAATCGGGCGGGTGGGGGGCAAATAGTTTATTGGTAGTGCAGATTCCGAACGCTACTCCCGGTCCACTGACATGGGAATCAGATCGGGTGGTGTGAGTCAACCCATCCATTCCAAAGATGGATGTTTCGGCTAGAAAAGAGATGGAATGGGTTGAATGGATAGATGATATTGAACTGAGTTAACATTCTTGCTAAGCCCTCGCATGTCGCAGTATGAGAGGAAATCACCCTTGGGGGAGAAGAAAACCCGATATAGGAAATTCGGCGAAAATATGAAGGAGTATTCCTACTGCAGACTCTCTTGGGGTGTCGCTTGTCCTCTAAGCCGTCTCTCTTCAGGAGGCTAATCTACTCTGTTTCCGGTTAGACGAAATGGAAAGACCTTTCGTAATACACCGAATGCAGTGGCTGATGTACAGTGGTTGTGTCCCATCCCCAGTGTGTTCCATTGAGTGTTATGAGCCGCTTGGATGCCAACGCTCCACGCTTCCCCTGAAGTTCAGAAGACGCTCCATGTGACAGCATCGGATTTGCCAAAGCCAACTGCTCCAGCATATATAGGTCAGCATCGTGTCTGTCAGGCCGACCGTACTAAATCTGCACAGGTTTAAACCGGTTGGAATAGTCAGTGAAGTAAAAACAATCGATACACTTCTACCCTACAAAACACCGTAGATCAGTCACCACTCCAAGTAATGGCAAGAGACGATACTGTGCGATCCTATCTTACGAGCCAAGGTTCCGGTGAACTGAGAGGTGCTGCAGTGGAATCTAGCTTAAAGTTGATAGTATTTCACTGTTTCTGACAGGCTTAGACACATTTTGAGGCAGACCCTATCGCACAGCCAAGTGGTACATACTGGTGTGTAGTACTAGTAACCGTTCATTCGTACCACCTTTTCGGTGCCTAGCTACCAGGCCACCCGAAGGAAGTACGAAGAAGGAGATATTGCCAGGTTAACCAATCCTAGACAGGAACAGTCGAGATTCAGAAGTTGGATGTCAACCACGCACCTTCTGTTCAGTAAGTTCGCACCTTTATCACAGCTATTTCGAGCTCGATACTGGTGTATATTGTTATCTAATTGACTGACCAGCGTAAGCTAGTAGGCTACTCTGCATAGTAAGTCAGGTTTTTGGTAGGCTTCTTTTTGACACTGGGGGTTACGTCTTCTCCCAACACAGCACTAACCTGATACCTTGTTCATTTCAAGCGATTGTTTTCCACTCGAATTATCATTCTAGACAACAGTAGGCTGTTTGCCGTGTAATCACGCACCATCCATGCCAAAAGCCTCAACAATGAAAAGTCGACGGGAAAGGGACTTCGTGCTAGGCTACAACAGCACTCTTAGGTAGCTGCATACCTCAGATAATCCAGGTGGGAAAATGCACCACGAAAGTCTTTGACCTTGTGGCCAAGCACAGACGGGATCACGTGTACTTCATTCCTGAAAGCAGACTTCCACATCTTTTCAAGCCACAGTGTCCATCTCGCAATTGGCGCCATTGAAGAACAGGACTGGGGGACAGCACTCACTTCGGAGTTCGTTTGCGGAGGGCGATATGGCCCAAGTGGCAAGAGCGCGAATTTACTGCCCGGAAGGTCCGTGGTTCGAATCCGACCTCCGCCTCTCGACTTCCCCTGTCTAGGCTTGGGCAACCTGGCAGTATCGCAGCTCTCGCGCTTCCTTGGGGTTGCACGGCAGCTAGGCACCGAAAGGATGCTACAGCTGAACGTATTTCATTCCATTTCGTTTGCGGCACATGGTCGAATTATTGCGGTTTGCGATGCTTCATGGTTTCTGCGACCACAGTACCCAGTACTCAATCAAGCACGCATTTCGTAATCACCTCGTCACTAATTTTCTGAGATCACGTCACATCAACCACTATGATCCGAGGCCTGTAGACGCCTCAGAATCCTCTTTGAATCTACTGCATAGAGTGGCGTGTGTTTCGAGTCTAAAGGTGCTCCCACTACCAAGTGTAGCACACAGCAATGTCGCTTTAACACGTCAGTAACGGCTACCTGAACAGAACCACTCGTGTAGTTCTCGGCATCCTGTTTTATCGTGGGTGGCCGTCTATTGGGTTACGCCTACGCTGAGCCTGCCAGACTACGCGATAGGGCGAAGACAGAGAACTGGGGACACGGCTGTATTGCCAGGACAAAACATACAGAGCGTCTGTGTAATATATAGGATGACTAGATGGCCAAATATGGTGGTTCATTTGTTCGTTCCGTACAGCCAATGGTGGTGTTCCGGTCGTGAACAATCTCAGGTCCACTACGCTGGTCGTATGTTGCTAAGCCGTGTTTGGTGAGAACCGCCAACGCACCTGCTTTCCGGACGTGTCGTACCGATTGTGACCTTGGGATGCGTCACTTTCTGCACATGTACTTTTTCCATGTCTGGATGCGTCCTGACACATCCAACATTGGCTGAAGTTTTCGAGAAAATGGGTTAACTCCTACGCAATCAGTACGGAGACAGCAATGTCCTTTCATTTTTTTTTGTCGTTACGATTTTAGCCTAGTTGTGACTAGATGGTAAAAGTTGGCTTGTTTCCAGTTGATATCTTGACAGTTTGTTTTCCAGCGTAAAAGTATTATCATGTTACTCCGTGTGTTCCTAATGTTTGACTGCATGATGTATTGTACCGTGTGCCTTGGTCACTTTACTGCAAGGTATTCCGCGCCATCCGTTTTGACGGTTTGTTTCCTGACTTCGACGAGCTTTAGCTCAGCCCATCATTTAAAGTGTTTCGTTGATGTTTGGTTGCCAAAATCGTCGTGACCTGCTGGACTATCCTTCATTCTTTGCTCAACAATATTCGGTCTTTGCGGAGTTACCACCTTAGCTATTTTTTCTTGCAGATTTACGATTACGAAACGATGACATGCCTGGAAACGGTGAGCGTTGGCTGGCGGAACGGTGGGGGATTAGATGACATGGCCATTGCTCCCAGCTTCAACCAACTCGTCGGAGCGAGCATAAGCAACTCGACTCTTAGCACATTTGTGGTAGACATCAAATCATGCATTCCGTTTGTGGACGAACTGCCATCCGTAGATGTACCAGTGCAGCAATCCCAACAGACGCCGGCCTGTGCACAAGCCCTGCCGTCCGAATCTGCCGCAGACAACACTGTTCGGGTAGGTTTCAGTTCGTCTACCCTCGTTTGCTCCCCTACACAGCATTGGATTGTCTAGCTGTCATCCGATTGATTCACAACTATGCTTTGTGTACACTACCGTTGCTATGGCAGCTGCATCAGGTTCGGCAGAATCCTTTTGTCAGATGAGCACGTGAGCTACCAACATCCGGCCTAGTTTGATTTGTACTTTTTCTAATTGGAAACTGATTGTTGAGTCGTTTCTGCGAGATAGAACAGCCGGTCGATCGATTTCTCCAAAAGATACTTGTTGCATACTCCCCCCCCTACCAATGACAGCTACACTGCTTTTACAATTAATTGCTGCAGACAGTGGTTTTTTATCGCTGACATCCTCATTATAGACACGGCACCTGCATAAAAAATGGTGCCATTCTCAGCTTTAAATTATCGCATATATACACATCATGATAATTGTCACTCCAAGTTTACAAATTAATGTGCCATCTGTTACAAGGCAACCTATACTCGCACCAACTTTTGCCTTCTGAAATAGTTTAACTGATCCAACTTTGCACAAATTCACTTGCGACCAGATCCAGTATAAACACACAAGCCAAGTGACCATAATCTTCTAGCCGCGCTAACCGTTGTATGTATTTTCGCGGGACCCCTAGAGCAACAAATGATGAATCGGTTTGTGTGTCTGCCGCGCATCTGGTGACGTCTCTTCTGCAGGTGGTAATTTCAAGTGACTGACCACATTTCGTGAACCTCCTCTGTGGCGATTTACTCTCCATGATGAATCCGAAGTTGTACAGCCTCTCCTAAAGCCAATATATTACGTTTTCGTGTACCTCTGTTGTGAATCGACGAGGTGACTTTCCCTGTGAACAAAACACAGTCTGTTCTAAGCTGTCTGACCAAGCTTGCATATCTCTTGGTGTGAGTAATGTCCGAGATGGTTAAAGCGGAACGGTCATCCGTTAGGCAGACTGCATGCGAAAAGGATCCCATGGAATATATCTGTCTTTCGAGCTATTGGGATCTTCCATCACCCGTGAACTGCCGAGAAAGTTGGTTTGATCTTGTTAGAATTCAACGAACGCCCAGTGTCGACCTACGGGCGGACAACCGGAAATACTCTGTGGACCAAAAAGATCCACGTTCTCCATTGCTAAAAAACCTCCTTAATGCCAAAATTTGAACAATATTTAAGCAAATGAGGATTCATTTAAAAGGATTCCCACAGCAATTTGGATTGCACAGAAATGGGTTAGCTATAAAAAGTTTGAGTCACTATTCGTTCTTCATCATCATCACCGCCATTGCAAAAACACTGGAGGAAAATACCTGTGGTTTACTACCTTACAACCATGTCAGTACATCTGAACAAAACCTTATGTCTGAGTTACTCACACCTCCAACACTTAGTCAGACAGTGTGCATAGAAATTGATATTCACTGATATCGGTTGGCCGTCCTATTGTTCAATATCTCCAGCCCAGAACAAGGAAGGCCCCATCCCATTTGGTGAATAGCCCCTAAACTTTCTGTACATTCACTCACACCGCCTATAGCTAATGGCAGTGTAGTCTACCTGTGTTGAAGGTCGACTCGTATGCGGAGGTCACCATGCGACCAAGCGGCTTCGGTTGTTTCGGAAGTCAGTATTGAATGGAAACAATCTGCGATCGGCACACATTTGCAACCGTCGTCCAGTCCAAGACGACCATCCAGCTGAGTCTCAGCATCGCTAATTCTACCTACCTGCGCATTCTTATCCCCATCAGCCACAACAATATCTGGGCTCTTAACCCAGACTGCCTTTAAGACTATCAGAGGTACAGTCTGTTAGGATTTAAGCTGATGCAATGCACATGTAGCGTTATCGGCTCGTTTACAGGATACTCACATACACGTTGCCAAACGAACTACACGGAAGCTACTATCAAAGGGCAGTCAGTCAGGCAGAGAGGCTTCAGGTCAGTGGCTTAGGGCAATATCAACCCCTGCTAAACCGGCTACAACGGCCTCTGCACCACCATAGGTGCGCAACTGGAGGTAACAGGAAACTGAGCTGGAGAGGTCAGCTCAACTACCCTACTTGGGTCTTTGTTTCAGATAGACAGCACAAACTTATAGAAAGCGAGTATAGCGTACATTCAAGCGAAGCCTACGGTTCAGCATGTTTCAGAGTGCAACCGTTGAAGGCTTCCAGATGAACTAAGCGTTTAAAGGATGATTTGAAAAGAACGAGAAGATTCGGACCCAACCGGAAAAGTTTAAAAGCTTTCTTGTCTGAAAACAATCGTACCACATTGCCCCACGCCCGCATTTCCTCCGAATGCTAACGGTATTGTGTGTGTCGTTGATTATACCTTATTTCTTAAGTTATTCCTCCGTCTTTATACAGATTTCGGTGATCGTCCAGGTAGCCAGACTAAAACCTCAACCTTATCTATGCGGACGTCCAAATTTCACAATGCGTTCGTACAACCAAGACCCACCTTTGAGATCCGCATTTGCTTCGGAACCTCTGAACCCACACTGCTTTTTTTCAAGGACGAAGGTCATTCTTCATCTTTACTCGAGATGAACCAGTGATCAAGGCGCGAACTTACTGACCGGTTTAAACTTGATATCTCAACTGTGCTTGCCTAGGATTTGGCAACTCTGCAGCGGTTCAGCCCTCGTGCTTTCTTTGTCAGACCGAATGCGTGTTACAGCTGAATGATCGATTACTTTGCCATAACATTTACTATGGGGTATCGGATATGAACAAGGTACCGTGTAACTGGTGTCCGTGAGCAGTCACCCAACTCTTCACTAACATTTGTTAATCAAACAGGCATCAACCTGGGTTCAGTTCTCAGCGGGTGTCACCTTGAACTAGCAAGGGCAACTGCCACTGTGTACACTTATTAGCGGCCGCCCCAAGCCTTCGACGTTGCTCTGAGCCACATCCTAAAGCTGTCACCTTGTCGTCGTGGTTAGGCTTCTGTAGCGCAATAATCATGCGAGCTGTACTGGCTGGAGATCACCTCCTAAAGGTTTGATCATGCCGGGAAGGCCCACGGTGATGAAGAACAGCGAGTCCTTTTACTGCGACTAATCGTACTACTAGGCGTTCTGGTGGTAAAGTCGTACTGTACGATGCAATGGGAATGTGAAGGTAGTAAGGCATTTCCCCCAGGTGACCAGCGTGTCCATATTCATGGAAGCAGCAATACTGTCTTCCCCCGAGAAAGGACGGGTTAGAAGAGGTCAGTCTGAAAAACCGCACACCCCGAACGCCCAACGGTGAACTTTGAGCGCCGGCGCATTATTCAATATTCGATATTCAAAATATTTTTCAAACCCGAGAGCTTGATACTGCTCAAAAAGCACCTGGTGCGCACAACCGCATCTGGACTGAGACATTAATGCTTTATTCCGTGCACTCTCAAGCCAGGCTAGTTCCTTACAGCCAAATGAGTCGGTCCATTGAATCATTTGCTCTGGGAGGGGTCCCCGAAGTGACCCATAAAAACCGCTGTCTCGTGGTTCATACTTTTGAGTCATAGGCTAGGGGCAGGGTCCCCAAACAGAACCCAACATCCCTCCGTTGGTGAGTCCCAGTTTCAGCAACCGTAATCCAATTTATCAGTGTTCATCTGTACTGTTGTTCTGTTGATCCCTCTAATCCGTGGTTATCCAACTCGATAACAGCACAATCGAATTGCTCACAGGCCCGGTTCAACGCGTAAGACGATAACTCAAAGTACTGGGACTCGGAGTCATAAAACCGTCGTTATTTTATTTCTCTCAGTCTATCTGATTTCGCTATGAGTGAATGTGTTTTGGGTACCGCCAAACTGTTACAAGTGACTTCCTGCGGCTTATGCAATATAAGAATTGACCAGCCAGCAGACTGCCAATCTACCCAACTGTTTTGTCTCCATCCCGGCCTCAACGCCCACCTGCGTGCTAAGTTTGTACTTGTGCCACAAGTGATATTTTGCGTATCTCTAGTTAGAAATGTGAGCCTATTCTTCGAGTGCATTGTGCGATTCCGTCTGATGTCCCGACCGGCGGGGTTTGCTTGAGTGTGCTGGTGGCTTCATGGCTCGCCTGGAAGCTCACAGAAAGAGGCGAATAACTCGTGACGTTTGGCAAAAGATATCATCTGGATGAGAAGCTGCTGAACGTGACCTCTTGAGGCCATGTTTAGTGTTGCCATTTTCTGTGGGGATTTTATTAGTTCCAGCTTCTCATTAATAGATTTTTCGATATGCTGGAAGTGTTTTAGTCATTCAGCAGTTGCCTGATTCATGCAGGGATTAAAAACGTATGCACGAAACAACTTTTTTTTCGAATGAATACACTTTTTTCCATCTCATTTAGCCTTTTATTGTCGAAGAACGGCCATATACCCGTTGCGGCTCAGCAGCGTCCAATGCGACCCATCCGAGAAATCGAAAAAGTTTCTGTCTCATAGCTGAGGAGAACGCCCGCAGCACGCTTCAGGTAAATTGAAAACGTTTTCCATTTCCGTCCTCAGTTCATTATTAGACTCTCCTCTAACGCTGTCTTATCATCATCCTAGATCGTAGTGTCATGTTGGTGGTTTACGATTCCCCTCCTAATATCTTTGCCGATGCACTGTTGTCACACTGCCAATCCCCAGAACCAGTTACAATTCCACCCCTGAAGTGTTTCCGCGTTCGCTTCCATTTTTCACGATTTGTCCTCTCAAGTGGAGTAGTACAGGCAAGCCTTTTCTCACAATCTTCTGTCTGCGTCAACACGGCCGTCGATAAGTCCATTTGTTTTCAGTCATGGAACGAACCCTGTTCTTGTATAAATACGAATAAACTTAAGTATAGGCGAACCTTTTAACGTATTGGTCGAATGGGCTGACCAATATGTCACCTAGGTACGTTTGGTGATCCTCACTGAAAATGCTATTAGTTACAACTCAAAATATCGTCCAAAACTATTGTTATTTCGACCAGTCGCGTAATAAAGTTAATGCAGTCAAACACCAGATATAAAAATTCAGGTATATCCGGGCAAGTACGTATTTCGCCACATCCCTCACGATGACGGACGGACTTCTAAACGGATTATTCCACCGCCAACAATACTGCCGCATGATTGATAGTGCGATTAGGGACCTGTAGTAGGCGAACACTCCAGCATTGTTACACGAGAACCAACTCAAGTTGTTAATGGTGTTTCCTCGACAGCACCAACCGAACGTGTAAAGAAGTTGTTAGCTGCGCAGGAAAGAATCAACGGTCAACTAGGTACACGCTTTTCGAACTAAACTTTATGTGCACTGGATAATAATTGCTCCGAACACAGTATGAAATAGGGGGGTCTTCAACGATCGTAAAGTGTGCTCAATACACAATAATAATGATAATAATAATAATGATAATAATCGGTTAGCAGTAGTACCTAAACACCGTCCAAGAGTGTATCTGTGTACCACACCCTTTTCCAAACTGTATTGATTCTTCGACGGTGAAACACTCATGATAAAAACTATGGAACGGGTATTTTAGGCTCCCGTCCTTTTTTAAGATTTGGCACTATCCAGAATATGGATGCAATCCGATTTCTAAACCGCCATTGTTGACACTGTGAACTTACCTTTTCCGCTCATGCCCATGGAATACGTTAGTTGGTACTATATGCATTTTTGTGGTCTAGGCGAATGGGTTCATAACAGCATAATGGCGTCAATACCGTCCTGCAATCATCAATTGTGCTCTCGTCCTGTCACCAAAACCAGTCTGTGCTTGAAAGCCGAGAAGCACTGTACGGTTGTTTCATCCGTACAAAGAATCATCAGCGGCGCACAACCCAGGGAATTCACAGCTTCGAACCCGCGACCTTCTGGCCAGTGGCTGAACTCTTAACCGTTCGGCCAAAAGCTGCTGAACAGCAGTGTGATTAGGGCCCCACAATCGCTTGAACTTGTAACCAATAACTGAAAGGGATTTGATAAGGTGCGTCTTATCCCAACCATGGGACTCGATTACTCAGCCTAGGTGATGGCAACTAAGCACTAAAGACAGCTTCCAATGGGTAGGTTATCGGAAGGTTAGAAAAAAGAATTCAATAGTTCGGATGTTCAGTGAATCAATTTAACGGAGGGTGTTGTGATAGCTGGCTGGAATCCCATTTGTTCATCTTTCGCCCCGTCGCTATAAACAGTCCTCGATTGATAGAGTGGAAGGGTGTTTCTGAAAGCCAATGCGAAGATCTGCCAGCCTCCTAGATTTTCCCACTGAACTAGGTGCAGCCCGTGGAGATCACAAACAAGAAAGTTAGTCCACCGGAATACGTTGCCCGTGTTCCCTACGAATGTTTCGGTATTACACCACAGGCTCCCAGATATGCCTTTCCACTACCATCCATTCTTCATCGGTGATTGTATTAAACCAGCGCACAAGCTCATTGCCATTGTAACCGCGCTGCTCGTACACCATCAATATCTGTACTCTGTCGTCCACTGCCAGTGAAAATCCGTTCATCTTGGGTGCTCGACACCGTCACAATCGCCTAACCCTTAGCATTTCCAGCTACATCTGACGGCTTCACTTCTGTCACCCACGGGTGCGTGAGCCATGTTAATTTTATGTCACCAGCCGTCCAAACAGCACCGTGGGTTAGTTCTGGCATGTTTTCCCACAATGGACAAGTCCGAGTTAGCTGGCCTCATCTGAGAACTCCTGAGGTTTTGCCGAATTTCGCTGACTGTTCACTACCGGGGTGAATTTATCTTGAGCAACTTGGGTTTCGGATAATGCCAGTTTCATATCCAACTAGATAAATAATACTAACAATATTAATACTAATAATGTTACAGTAATAAAGTAAATGTGCCTTTTTGTTGGCTCCCGATCCCCTCATTGGTTTCTGAAATGTCACGGATTCTGGACTTTTTTACACTGTTGTGCTGAACTCCATGGTCCGCCTGAACAGTACATACCAGCGCTGCCACATTTGCCGAGCTATTTGTGTACTATTTGCGCTAAGTTTGACCTAAGCTACTTGCATTTTTTAGTTCAAGTGTATATGCCTATTTCGGGTTCTTTTTTCTTTTACATAACACCCTTGCTAGTCGGACGGAATGTGTTTGGGTAGCATAACCACTTTCAGAGTCATCGTGTTGTTATCAATGGTTTGTCCTTTTATCGGCTAATCAAGGTTCACCAAATATATCGCTTTCTCGTAGGAGGATCTCACGGATCCCGATGCTCACCTTCCGTACAAACCGTCCGCTGATGATCAGAACGAAATGGCCTCCTCCGCGGATATCAACGATCCAGAAGAATATGATCGCATTTTCAAACCTCGCCGAACCGTTGCCCGAAGTCCATCACGTGCCTTCAGTTCAGCGAACAAAACTTCTAAAGCTACCCCAGCCCCGTCCTCTGCCCGTCGCATTTCTCCTCCGGAAACCACAGCACACTCCGGCACTGCCTCCATATCTGAGCGCTCCACAGCCAATGTAGTTAATGATAGGAACCAGCAAGTTCACGGACAACACGTCAGAGTCGAGGACACTGCTTTCGTCCCACCGCCCATCAGGCGTGTTCAGTCCACCATGCAAACAAAATCAAGTAGGGCTTCTTTTGATTCATTCAATTCACCTTTCTCATAGTGTGGGATATTTTTTAACACTTTGTCCAATCATTCTCATAGTTGGGAAAATTTTTAACACTTTGTCCAATCAATGTCAGTCACTGCTGTTTGTCGGAACTCTTAATTCCCCCAGTGAATGCTATGTCTGGATAGTTCGTCTGTATAAAAACAACCAGCTGGTTGTACAGCACTATGAATCAATCTGCCTAGCCTTGAGGGATAGTCTTCTGTCCATTCAGGACAATCACACGTGTTGCGACAGCGGTGCTCAGCGGGAGGCGATGAATCTACCAAAGAACGAGAGTCATTTTGTGTTGTCTCTTTTATCCTTCCGTGGAGATGATGACTTTCTAAGATTCGTTGACTATGCAGAATGTAGTTACAACCCCGTCTATGAATGGCCCCTTTTGCTCAGACCAGGTCGATTCTTTTTCAATTTTCATCTTGTGTGTGTGTTTACTCCAAGAAACCTCGAGCTCACAGATCGCCGTTCGTCGGCTAGGAACATTGCTAGAAATATATTCACGTGAACGGATAAGCGTAGCATCATATACTTATCTTTCGCAGTGGTGGGTTTTTTCGACGACAAAGGTGTTTCATTTCGTCTTGTAAGTGAAACCAATCTATGCTGAAAAGCCGAGAAACAATGTACAGCTGTTTTATCCTTATTGGGAGTCATCAGCAGTGCGCATCTCACGAAAAACCGGAGAGTCTCGAACCCACGACCTCCCGGCTAGCAGTTTGAACAGCTAACCGTTCGGCCACGAGGGGCTGATCAGCAGTGTGATTAACTCGCACTTAGACAGCACGTAGCGCCGCCCATCCTTCAATCACGGGATCCACAACACGTGGTCACACGTGTTGACTGACTCGTTGAGCAACGACTTCTCAGGTGGAAATTTCACTCATCGGATAAAGTGTATTCTTCCACTAAACTACTTATAGATTGTCGGTGGTGTGAGGAGATTCGCGGCTTTTCAGCATAGATTAGCTCCACCTACAGGACGAAATCTCCACAACAATCGCAAATCTCCCCACACTACCAAAGGTGTTTCACTATGTCACAATGATCGAGACCGCTGAGGGGCCAGGCTTTTTGGAGCTAGTCAAATTCTCACTCCGGATGTGTATGTTATTCACGAAGAGGCCTGTTCCCGCTTGGTCGGTAGACCAAGTCTCGTCTCCCGCCGTCTATGTTGCGCTGTGCTGCAGTTGGAGGTCATCGGGCTTGCCTATCACATTTATACCCCTCAGGTGGATACTCCACACCAGCAGCCCTGGACGAGAATACTTTTTACCCTCACGGCCACAGTTGGCCTCAAAATAGTAAATGGGAAAGTATAAGGTACCTTAGCATTTGTTTACAGTCAATCCTACCAATTTGGTAAAGGTAATACGAAACGAGGTCGCTGAAAATCCGAGAACTAAGTCCGGTTGGAGTATCCTGAATAGGAGGAACTCACCAATAGGTCTTACTCACGCTACAAGTAGTATCTTCCATTGATTAAACATACCGCGAATCCTTACAACAGGTCCTATTGCAGTGGTGTATGCCCTTCTTAATGGACAGCGTTGCCTGCATATAACTGACTGACGAACCACACACTCTTTGTCAAGAGTCACGACGAATTACCGTACTGTTCGTTATGTTTCGTTGCTGTGTACTGTGCATATTGTTTCAACCTTTCCTGTTATTCTACTGAAATTATTTGTCTTCCTGAGGAGTTCCACTTAGGGTGTGAACAGGTGAGAACGAGTGTAGTAGTAGTAATATATAGGAGTTGAAAAGCCTTCGCCAGTAAAAGAATAATTCAAGAGCTTTCGGGTACATACTGCCACTGAGTTTATTTCATTTTCTATTCAGGCCGCCCTACCTCTTCCCCTGGAATTACGGCTCCTTCACAGCGTTTGGTTTCTGACGATGTGTTGACAGTAAGTCCACACAATGGTTCGTTTCGAACTATTCACGTGATCTGATGTTTTGAGCGGCCAGATGCTAATGATGCTCAAACTAACATTTACTGGAGTTATTTTTCTTAATGGTTTGAATAGCCCACTTGAATTCAGTCCACGCACACTTCCTTGTTTATTTGTTCACACTGCCTCCGAAGACGGCTTCCGCGCTCAACATGGCATAATGTTGTACTGTTTGTCAAAAATACGCCTCATCAGAATCCAATTCTGGCAGCAGCCCTGGCAGTCTCAGGGCTAATCACCTCTAGAAAATCCAAAGTCCTGCAGCTTCTAACGTACTTTATCATTACTCAGACACAGCTGTCGAATAAACTTACAGTGTTATGCCGTCTCTTGGGAAAGCACATTCGTCGGGCTTTCTTTCATCCGCGGGCGTTCCCTCTTCTGAGCTATAATGAGACGTCGCGTGGATTTGATAACGCCGGTTTCTCAATACTGTTGCACACCCCCTGATTGAGACATACTGATGCAACGCGGTAAAACTGCTAGCCCATTCCTGTCATTCAGGCCACTATGAATCGAAATTTATTAACACAGCTGACATCTGCGATAGACGTTTAGAGAGTCAATGTCCTTCAATCAATGAAGGACTGGTTCTCCTCGTGTATGAGTTGCACTGGAAAGTATCCCGGGTCTACGGCAGTGTCTCATTGTGTAGAGAAGATACTGTGTTCCAAATCCTAGCACCTGAATTGCGTCTAGTTAGTTCTGAAAAGCCCAAGGAGCCATACTGGAACCATGAGCAATCAAGAGACTAGACTTTCGGAGTTGACGTTTTATTGTCTCCGTTTTCATCAGGGGCGTGAGATGGCTCAAGTGGTTAGAGCGCCAATCTACTGACCGGAAAGCCTGTGGTTCGAATCCGACTTCCGCCTCTCGACTTCCCCTGTCTAGGCTTGGGAAACCTGGCAGTATCTCTGCCCTCGTGCTTCCTTCGGGTAGCGTGGCAGCCAGACACCGGAGGGGTGTTACAGCTGACAGATTTCCGTTGTCATCAGATACGTTGGACTGTTATTTAATCCAGTTAACTACTAAATTTTCGAGTTTGCTGTTCGTCATTGTTGATTGCACAGCCTTGACGGTGAGTGAATGTGAACAGTAATTTAACAGGACGTTACTTTGGTCGTTCGTTTTCTACCAGCATGAGTGTTCCGGGTGTCAATCGTACAAGTTTTGGAGATTCATTCCATGAACGTTTTGCGCGTTTACAGCAAGGCCTTCTAAAACGGACGTGAATTGTTTGGTGCCACTTTCCGGTTTCCGTCGGGTTACTGAATTACCATGGAATTTGTGAACGCTGTTATTTCACAGAGAGATGGTCTAAGTGGTTAGAGCGCGAATTTACTGACCAAAAGGTCCGTGGTTTGAACCTGACATCTGCCATTCGACTTCTCCTGTCTAGGCTTGGGCGAACTGGCAGTATCCCAGCCCTCGTGCAACCTTCGGGTCGCATGGCAGTTAGGCACCGAAAGGGTGCTACAGCTGAACGATTTTTTTTATTTCACAACCCCTTAAAAGTTAACCAACCTCCTGTGAGGTACATTGTTCCCTCATATAATATAATGGATTTCTTCAGCCAACGGTTACGTATTCTGCCCCTAATTGACTTCAGGTTGTCCAAGAACTAATTGAATGTGGAATTTTTTAGCAACAACGAAAAACCACCCACTGGAATGCACAAATCATCGTTACTGATTAATGATAACTGTTAGTAAGGGTCTCTCAAGAGGCGCCTCACTTGAATTCAGACAATCGACTTCACGAGTCCCCCAAACCCCTATATATTGTGTTCCATCCTCAAGAGTCGGTTTCACTAGTCGAAATGTTTCTATCCTTGAGGTTCTGCTTTTCGATTACTAATAGCCACATTCTATAAGAAACGAAGTTTGCGTCCCATGTTTGCTGAGCTACAAACGCTTCTTCACCAACCGAGGTGACATCTTCGGTGCGTCGGTATGCAGGCCCACACAGATGTGATTCATTTAGATGCCTCAATACATGAACTCTTCCCCGGTTATCTTCCAACTAAACATGCCTTGTTTTGCAATTAAACTGTCTAACTCCACTACTTACTATTCAGGAATTCGTCCAAAACGCAGCCGATTCCAAGCTTGGTTCGGTCATTCAAGCAACTCGTGCCGACACTCCCAATGCGGCAGCCGATCCTTCCGAGTCCGAGTGGCTAGCCAGTATACGCAAGTCGCACAATCTATTCATGACCGTTATGTCTGCGCGGGTAAAGGGAATTTCCACAGTTCGTATGATGTGGACACGGGACAACATTCGAACGGCTGTGGAAACCGCTCTGATGATGAACGAGCCTGCAATCGTTGTTGATGTTCTCAGTATATTGGCGCAAAACAGGTCAGTGGTCCACTTTCTTTCGTCATTTTTTTTAATTTCAACGGTTCTGTTCTCTTCTTGCCTCGTTGCTAATTCATGGAAATAATTTATTGGTGGTGGAAACTTCAGGTAAACATGAAAACAAGTTCTTTCGGTAATTTAGTAGAAAGTATTTCTTGTCTCTTGTTAAGCGCGGTCCAACTAAGGGGTCTAGACAGCGAACCGCCCAACTCTCTGAAGCATAGCACTTGTGCCTATTCAACGTCCATCTTTGTCTACGTGAAATACTTGTTGTTCCTTACTTCAGTTTTTTTTGTTTTCGCTTCTAACCCCGAAAATTTTTATTGTATACACGTATCCAGTGATCCACTGGACCTCATTGTGATGTGCTACTTTTATTTTAGCAAACTGTGGAATTTGGAGCTGGCAACGGTTATCCTACCTCATTTGGTACCGCTAATCCGAAGTAAATATTCCAGGTACGTGATGCGATTTCATGCACTTTACCCCGGCAAGCTCCTGTTATTTGATAACGCCAACCCGGATTTCTTGACAATTCTCAGTTGCTGTATGTTGCGTCTTGCTGAACTTTAGTGCAACTCTGTATCGGTCCCTTGGCTTCTGCTCTGCCCACTATAGTATAACAAAAGGCACAGTAGCTTTACATAGCCTTTCATGGAGACAAGGGAAAATTATTACAACTGTATTTATAGGGTAGTCACAGAGTGTTCCACAAGGTCGTGCCAGAATCTCCGTGAGGGGGCGAGAAGCGTCGAGTCAGAGGTTCTCGATCCGGATTTGCCGGAATTCTGACCAATCAGTGCATGCCTTCTTTTGGTCCGTGTCCCGCACGTGACATCCGTCCAAATGATGTGATGTTCGGTTATTAGGGACGGCTGACCTCCGGACACCTTCCCCTTCAGAAGGCTGTTCAACCGACTACTGCTTTGGATTCCTGGAGGTGTTGTCGCATTTCGGTCCGTCCCTGGGGCTGCCAGCATGCTGATCTGGGATCCGGTACCCTCCACTTGGGAGGTATGTCACGGCTGTCCGGTGTCCCATGCGACGTGGTCCCCTCACCGAACCGCAGTCTGTTGCCTTGACACGGCTGTGCTGATGATCTTACGTGTGCCTCGTGTTTGACATAGTCGGCCCTGCGTCCACCGTGGAAAGCATTCCCCATATCCTCGAATCAGTGGTTGGTCTCTGTGTGACTGTTGTGGCGTCCCTTCTGCCGACCCCTCTTTTTGACTTTCCGGATAGCAGTAGAACGATCCGCATGAACCTGTGACTGAAGGGTTCGGACCTGCAGACAGGATTCACCAAATTGGACGGAAGTGAGAGGGCTACCGCTGGCGGACGCCAGAAGCTCAGATCACTTCTCCAACTCGCTGTGGTGTGAAGCACCATTTACTGAATGTGATGGTCGTATTCCTTTATCCACTGCGTAACATTACGAACTAGGCTTGGATTCACAGAAACACTCACTGGCTTCGCTTTTCGACTTATTCGCCAGGCCAGTTGCGAGGTCGCATTGAATAATCACGAGTTTGTTAGAACGTGTTTTCATTTGTCCCCTCCTCCCATTGTTGACGGGAACGTTTGTTTCTCATGTTATATAGATGACCGCCACTGTGTTTGCCAACCCGGGCAATAGAAAAGGAACGTTTAAAATGGAGTAGAAAAACTCCCTGTGTTCGTCACGTAAGGCGAGATTGGATGACGTGATTATTCTGCTCAGTAAATTGGAATACACCAAAACGAGGTCACGCTTTTCCAACCCCAAGCAATATCAACTATGAATTACTGAAACAAATCATATTTGGAATCACTATCTGTGGTAGAACTCGGTCTGATTGGCCTTTATCTAAGCCCTTGTGGGTTCGTATGTGACCATTCGCGTTACCACTTTTCCATGCATAGATTGCGCGAAAAGAAACGCAGTTGAATTTTCTCGTGTGACCGAAAATTTATCTTGCTACTTGCTGTTAACATGGGTTCATCTACACATCTGCTCTAATCGACTCTCCTTTCATCTGCAGACATGTGGAAACAACGTGTAGAACGGTTCACTTAATTTTGAAGAACTTCGCCCAACTTATTAAGCACACTCTTGACGGCCCCACTCCACCAGGTGTGGATCTCATGCGAGAAGAAAGGTGAGTCGATTGCGGTTTATCGTACCCTTGGTGGTCTGCATTCAACAAACACGACCGAACGAATAGCTTATAGTCCTATTGCCAGTTCTCAGTCAGAAGGATTTTCCTCGGAAGAACCTCAAGGGTGCAAAGAGACGGAAGTTCCAAACCATCCTGTTGAAGAATAACTGTTTTTGTGCAGTTTTTTGCTTCTTCCTTTGGTTACCCTCTCTTGACCGATATTCCTGGCAGATGTGGAGTCAGGGCGCGTGAACTGGCACCTTTTTCATGGCTGTGAAGTAATATTCGCTACGCTTTGTGTGCATGCAATTATTCGTCTCGTCTATGTTTTCCTTACGCTTGTACTACAGCTGTTTCAGTGCGGTACAATGACACGAAGATATCTTGTTGGCTTTCACCCTATAACCTCAATCTACTGACGGTTGATGGAAAACTTGATAAGGAACGAACAGCTGAAATGACCTCACCAAATAACCGAAATTCGGTGCGGAAGTTGCACGGAGTTTCTTCTACCGAGCGTGATTCGTTCTGACTAGCTGTTGATTTGTTCCGGCTGTGTATACTTAGTATGGCTATCTGTCTGAGCAAGGAAATGCTAACGGCGGAAGAGTTGGTATCAAGGACCCTAATGGCGCGGTGGTCAGCGCTTTCGCCGCTACTTGGGCTGAGTGGGCCCACATGTTCTTGTACGTGACCCGCCAGTTATTGCATGTATCTCCGAGCTTTTTCGATGCCCATTTGGCTGAAGTTACTCGATTCCCTTAACTTCCGATAGCTCATATGCAGAGTGTAGACCATCCCAGAGTAGAATAGTGATTTACCCACTAATTACGATAAATTGCGATAAATTAGCTCATGATATGTTGTCATACAATTACCTCACATCGATAGCTAACTACCGTCGGTCACCTTTGTTTGTTTTTCATCTCTTTACCCTCAAATCGTCTGCCACAATCGCCCATCGGTATTCTGCTTTTTTATTTTGCTTTCAGTTTGCCTTATGAGCTACCTATGGTTTGCATTCACTCTTGTCTTCAACTGTTCAACCGGAACTAGCATCTTATTTTCTGAACACTGTTGCTTTATTTCAGACAAAGAAAATGTCAGGAATGTATGGATCATTTACTTTCCATACGAACAGCACTTGAAACCAAAGAAGTTGCTTCGCGAGCCGGACAATACGGTCGAGAGCTTGTTGTTCAATTCCAGACATTGTCCTGATAGCCGACACACCCGGACGCATAATTCTATCCAACTTTCGCCTTTTCGACCCGATATGTTGCGCACTGTCATCACCGTGCTTAACGTTCTAGTACTCCTTCGCTCCCAAGAACCGTTCCTGTACATAAAACGCTTAACTCAATGTTTTTCTAGGCTCAAATATGTCCGTTTTATCCACCTCTCTCCCGTGTTTCTGAGATCTCGATAATTATTCTCAATTTCCACCCGGTTTCGTCTTTCATTAGAACATTTTTTCCAAAGTCCAAAGCAAAATACGCCCACGGATTTCCTGGTTAGTCTCTCAATGCATTCGCGTATTGTTTGCCTCCCGTGCCTAATATTGCTGTCAACTATCTGAAGGTTTCTTTCTGTGGCTGCCCCTCAACTCGACCGTTTTCTTGGTGCCGTGTCTCGATTGCGTCATCTTTTGCTTATGAGTCCCTTCATTTTCGATGAATCCTTCGCTGAACTTATGAGCTTGTGTCATTGCGCTCAGCAGCGCTTAGAGAACAGTTGGTTTCCGAAGGTGTCGTGTTTGCGCAGTCCGTGACAGTGTGCCGTCGAACTCGGTTTTCGCTGCTGTTCGATCTCACGCAGATCCTCAGTTGAAAATCAGGTCAGTTGACGAGTCCGTTCTTGGGACATTAGGCTGTTAAGACATCCATATCAACAGACATATTGGATATCACAGTGCGAATTATAGCCCTAGTTCCAGAATTAGGCAGTTTTGGTACTGCATACATGCGATTATTCAGTAACAGCGAACTGTGTCAGTTCGGAGTGTTCTGAAAGACACGTGTCGGTCGGTGTAGTAGTCCATGCAACATGCAGAGAAGCTGTCGCTGAAGAGGTTACTGGAGGTAGACTATAAAGCGCAAAATGATCTAATGTTTTTCGAACGCACGTAAACACAGTAAGCCGGCAGAAGGGTGTACAGGGGGTGGTCACAAGGCGGGCACAGCAAAAGGTGAGCTCACAGTTTATCCCGCACGCTGTCATCTCGCAGGGCGCGCGCGGACTGCTCTAGGGGTAGATACGGAGGACCACGTTAGGCGTCGAACGATAGTGGACATATTCCAAGCAGAGCGAATTCGCATCCATGCTGGATGATTTGACCTTGGTCTCTAGTTCGTGATGGAGCCCGCAGCGGGCTGGGACCTACCTGACTGTCCTCATTGTGCTGTAGGCAGTCGAACTGTCTCCTCACCTGGATCACAGTTACGAATGAAGCACACAAACGAATTGGAAAAAGGATGAGTTGGAGACGCAACTATCGATCTGTCCGTCGTATGCCTTTTTTCGCAAAATGAAGATACGGAAGCAGCAGCTGGTAGAAAGTGCCGATCTTTAACTGAACAAATCTCACGCAGTTCTGACTACCTAGATTTCCGCTTAATTTCCCAGTCGATCTTTTTCTAGGTATCGAAATTACCTTCCAATCGGTTGATTTGGTCGTGCTGAACTCAGGTCGTCGTGTCCAAAGGCGAGTTAATTTTCTAGTTACACAGACTAGAATGTATTAAACTGTGATAACCTACCTGCATTCTGCAGCTCGTTTTATCTTCTGGGCGAGGAGACATCCACGCGTCCGCCGAATTCGGCAGTCATTGTTACATGGTTGAGGGACGCTATGCACTCATGCCAATTCGGTGCGATCCCACCAGCTACCTCTCCACTCATCGCTCGTGTTGACCCGTTTATTTTTTGCGAATGTTCCACAAACTTTTGGACGTATGACGTGGTGTCCATCACTTAGGGTGGCTCTCCACAAGCAGTCCGATAAGCCCAGCTGCGTGATTGTGACCCAATTGGTCGGTTATAATCACTGTAGTATGTCCGATAATGTGAGGGAATTTGGTTAGTTTTATTTGCAATCTCGTCCGGTCAGTGAAGCCAATTTATCCTGGAAAGCCGACGAGCTCTGTACAAACGTTTCATTCTTATTATGAACCATTGGAAGTGCGAATCTCACAAAATTCAGAGAATTTCGAATCCGCAACCTTCCGGCCAATGATTAAAGAATTAGTCGCTCATGACCGAGCAGCTGTCAGTTGGACAGGATATAATGCTGTGGTGATGCAAATGGTATCGAATAATCTAAGTTATCCCGCCTCATGGTTTGGCATGTGCTTCCTACGGGCAAGGTAAACTGCTACTGTAGGACTGGGTGAGCTCTGAACCTAACCTCAGGCTTGTGGATGAACGATAGAGGTAGCAGACAAATTTGTCTCCATGGGCAGCTGTATCAGTCCTGGTGGTCTCGCAAAGGACGATATTTCCATCCGGATTAGGACCGTCAGAGCTGCTTTTGTGAACCCACGTCACCTGTGGCGTAAACGTGACGTCAAGGGTCGAGTTTACGATACTGTGATACGTTTCACATTGCTGTACGGATCGGAGACCTGGCCACTGCCCACCAAGGATGTCGAAAGGATTTCAGTGTTTGACCATCGATGTCTTCGGAGTGTTGCCCGTCAATAACCGTCGGGGAAGGTTATTCCACGCACCAAACACCCAAAATTATAAAAATTGCACCAACTGATGTTGAAAATTTTTACTGTGTACTCACCATGTATTATTTAAGTAAACGGTTGGAACCTGTTGGCGAAATCTTTTCAAACAAGTAGTGCAAGTAGGCAAGCAGTGCGTTCCTCGAAGTGGTGAAGGTCTAGAGGAAAGAGTTCAAGCATCTCGAGAAGCATTTCATAATTGACACATTTGAGGCTAGCAACCACCTTCATAGCAGCTCATTGGAAACTTTCAGTGAGGGGTATCTCTTTCTTGCATCCTGCAGGACAACTTAAATGACGTACTAAGAGGGCGGTCTAATATGGGCCCCACAGTCACTCTAGATGCTTATGTAAACATTTCGCGAGAAAGTGTACCCAGTCATCTGAAGAGGGTCGATCGTATTTTGAACCTGTTCAATGGTAGGGTTAAAAGAACATGTTCGAAGAGAGCTAGACACCTAAATCCCTTTTGGGAACTGCATTCATACCGTCTTTTATTCCATTCTTCATGCACGACAAAAGCATTTGCTGAGTCTCCGCCGAACGACATATGGACGCACTTTTTGTTACTCGAGATTCGTCAGAGCGGCTCGGGGANAACGACATATGGACGCACTTTTTGTTACTCGAGATTCGTCAGAGCGGTTCGGGGAACACTAACTTTGCAGCTCCAAGGCTTCAGGTTGTCAGCATAGAGTAGATATGGACTTGGAAAAGCTTTCGGAAAGTTGCTCAATAGACCAAAACGAGAGTATTCCTGGTTAAAATTCAGTGAAGAACGGAGACGAAACCAAGTCGGATGATTTTAACTGGACTTGAAATTGGAATGTACCTCAAAAAGAAAGGTAATCGCTTCGTTTATCCGGCGTTGTCTCGTGCGCACAAGGTCTTGTATCGTGATCTCTATTTTCTTATGTTCCACTGTAAATTTTCTGATTTGAGGCGGTTCCAGATCTTAGGAGGTGCCATCCAAGTACTCTCTAGTTATATTTTTAAGGGACAGTCGTAGCACCATTTTGAGAGGACACCAAATGATTTTAGGTTGCTTCTAGTTTACTTGACTGCACACTGGTTACTTTGTAACGAAAACAGCAGAAGATCCATGGACTTCTCAGACAATGGTCCTATATCTATCATCTACTGAAGTTGGTCCTATTTTATCGTGGTTGAGGAGGATGCGCTCCTGAGAAGTTGCGATGTTCTGTATAGAGTTCCAGGTTCCTGGCTTAGTAACACGAGAGATCAGAAGTTGGTACGGGGTGCGTATATCTCGAGAAGCCTTATTTACCACTTGATCAATGAAACTTCTTTCGTTGGTAATAACCAGATCTACCACTGTTCGAAGCTGGCCCGTGCGGTATCAGGTGCGTGGATCGACATGCTGTTGAAAAACTCACCAGCACCGAGTCAAAATGTCTACCAGACCCGACGTGCTAGAACCCCTTCCAGGAGGTCTTGACGGCGTTAAGCTCACCTACCAGCAGGGGATACGTGAGGTAATAGCTGGAGGAGAGTTGCCCACTAGGTTCGCATGAGGATCAGATCGCCTATCGCAGACTTCAGTGCCGACGGTAGACGATGCCATGTAGGTGCGAGTCGGTTACACGCAGCGGAACTCTACTTCAAGTGCATCACAAGAAGTTTCGGAGGGGGTGTCCGAAAACACAATCGAAATGCGCAAGGCAGAATTTAAGCACAGCGCAACCTTATCAGCATTACCGTTTTTCACGGCGGCGTGAAAACTGAAAAACCATCTACCGAGATTTCAGCACCAGATGCATCAGATTCCATTTAGTGCAGTAATGGACGGTCACTCGATGCAATCAAGCTGTTGAATACCGGAAGCTTGTTGGAACAACGGAGGCAGTTTGCGGGTAATCACCTCCACACTGCTTATGTTGCATCCAAAGATTGGAAAAATATAGGTACTGTGCCAACGAAGAGACCAGTAGATTTATACTTCTACTCCTGCATCGATTCCAAAGCTTCGAAGCATCCCTCAGGACGAAGTTTTCCCTCATTTGTTGGAAACCTTTGATGGCTGCCATGCGCAGGGTGTGGAATGTCATATTTTGGAATCTTAGATGCATCTTGTTAAATGATTCGCGGCCGGTGTGCTTCCGCTGGGTTGCTTGTGTTTCAAGGCGCGTCTTGGTTGTCACTATGTTTCTGTGAAACTTGTCATATCATGTGCCGCTAGCATAAACCATATTGGGTATTGCTTCTCTGGGCACTCCTAAGCGTACCACACCTTCAATGCACCAAGCGGCCTCACGATTGAGTGAGGTTCACGTTGTTAAGTTGATTGCATCCGCCTCTATCCTCGCCCCTTTGGACTCACATGTCATCTACATCAAATTGGCACACTCCGTATTGGCGAATAACGTTTATATGCTTTATGCCCTTCAGACGTATCTAATAAAATGAGTTTTAGTCGGAGAGCTTCAGAAGCTCGCCTTCCATTCCGTGTAGTTCTGGAAGACTACTTGATGCATTATGCAGTAGTAATGCGAGTGCCATCTCTGCGGATGATCTATGGTGATCCTTCTGACCATTGTACGTTAGTACTTTCTTTGTAAATTATCATCACTCAAATTGTACCACTTTCTATCTCTCACTAAAATCTCAGCTTATTCCTCTCCTCTTCATACCGGATAACTGTTGTTTAAATGAAAGCGAAGAAATATGGAGGCAAACACACAATACAAATTCTGTACTTCGTGAAAGGCGTGTTCCCTTCTTGCTGTGTCGAGTCACGCTGTCAGTGAATTAACGAGCGGTGATCTACCTTTCA